GTACAGCCATGTATTTAAGCATAAGCTAAATCAGTAGGATGCAAGTACCTGTGATGAATGGCAGGTTAGATTAAAAATTACCTAATGGCTTCTTCTGGCTTTAATCTGTCTGAACTAAATGTGTCTGAAGTTAATAGGATGGTTTGCCAAATAAAGCCCTACGTGACTCTCTTTTTTTTTTTTTTTTTTTTCCCCCCCCCTCCCCTTGAGAGTCCCTTTAAATGTTTATATCAATTAGTTCTGTAAAACCATTTTACCAAGACTGAATCTAAATGCATGGCACCGTGCCCTTTCCAAGCGTCGTATGCACAGAGAGCATTAACCCCTTCTTGGGAGAACTGACGTATTCTTAACGTATGGAAAGCATCCCGTAAATGCAAGGCATCCTTTTAGAACTCGAAAAGCAGACAACTAAATAGTCTATAGTAAGCGGCACGGCCACGTATTCTTCTTTGTCTTACTTACACGTAGTTGGTGTAGGTGGGTTTTTTTCTTTTTAATTTGCTCGTTCATTCATCCAACACCGCTGGAAGTTGAGATAAATCACTGCGGTGTCGATGGAACAATCAGTGTCTAAGCCAAGAGGCACACCGCGGCCCGCGTATCTAGTACACGCTGCCGTATCGGCTCGCTAATCACACGAGTGGCTTAGATGCCCGTCGTGGAAAGCTGGTCTTCTGTGGGTGTTGCAGAACCTGCCAGGTACTGTGTTCGTGTATCGGAATTACAGAGGCAAAGGCTTGCATCCGTGGCAGTGGATGGCTGTAGGTTAAACGTTCTAACACACAGGGTATCTATTTCCTCTTTATGTCGCATTACCCCAGTTTGTACCAGTAGCTATAGCACCTGGCTGTCCATTTCCAAGCATCCATTGATAACGGTGTGGGACAGAGATGCTCAGGTCCTGTTTGAAATCTTTGTCTCCAGCTGCTGGAGGTGCCCTGGCCCTTGTCTGTATTGGTGTTGCGTTGCGTGGTCACTCTCAAGCTGCTTATGAAATCTGGAAAAAGATCTTTTTCTTTTTTTTTCTTTTTTTTTTTCCTCTTCTTGTGTGTGTGCTTAAAGTGGAATGAGAATTAACTGAGAGACTTAACGGATGCTCTGAAAAAATACTGCGAGCTCCCTAATTCAGGGAGTTGCTTTACATAAGTCTTCTCTTGCAAACTTGCCCGCAGTTGATATTTCTTTGAAGAGCCTGTGATGACTCTTTATCTGTAGATGCTTGAAGCGCGTTCAGCTCCGCCTGGATGTCAGCGGTGTTCGGCACTTCATTTTCAAAGAGAATTTGTTAACACGAGTGTAGCCTGAGAGATGAAAGGATCCATGTTTGAGGCAGCCAAGACACCAGGCAGGAAAAGAAGGATCTTGAGAGGGATTGGATTTCTCTGGTCAGTTGTGGTGGAGAAGCCTTTCTTTGAGTGAGAAAGAGCTTTCTCTTGGTGTGGCTAAGACACAGGCTAAGGAAAACGACTGGGAAAACGGGATGGGCAGCTCCCCCACGACAGCCACTGCTGCCCAGGGCACCCCTTGTTTCGTCTGCTCCTTCGTCTGGGTCGCTGTGCTGCAGCCCGTGGTGTTTAGACCCTGTCTGCCTCGGTCGAGGAGCTGTACCGAACAGCGAAAGGTTTCACTGAACAGTGAGAAGTGACAGCTGAACATGGCAGCGGAGATATTAAACACGGCGTTTCCCCCTGGGCTGTAGATGAGCTCGTCTGTCCTTTCCCGTCCATGCTGATGGGCCCTTCTTCCTTCCAGCCAGCTCTCCTGGCACGAGCCCTCTTCTGGGGGACTCATCCCAATCCCTCGTGCTTGTATTTATCATCTTTTACAATCATGGGCGTTGCTTGATTGGAGTTCAGCTGGCCCGGTTCCTGCCGTGGGCTGTAAGCTTTCCTCCCGCAGCGCGGGGCGCGATGGGCGCCCTGCTTTTCCTTTCTGCCTGGGAGCACGCTGGCTTTGAAAGGCAGCACCCCGCTTTACCTGCGACGAGCACTGACACCAGCAGTGAAAATGGGAGGCACCACTGGAAAGATAACTTTCAATCAAGCAAACTGAACGTGGACTGGTGATTGCAGGGGGAGCCAGGACACCAGCCCTCTTCCAAGAGCAAATTAAGACCGTATTCCTGGCTGTGACCTGGTGAACTAGGGAGAAAAAGTGGCAGACGTGAGCTGTGGTACTTTACAAGCAAATGCTGGAAGGGATGGATCCTTAGTGGAGTGCTCGAGTCCAGGCAGGGGGATGGAGAGAGCCCTGAAGCTGTCACCTTGGTGCCAGGTTATGAAGAACATGGCTGAGGGCCCCTTGCCCATTTTTTCCCTCCTGTATCTTTGCAGGAACAAGGCCCCATCCCTGGAATGGTTTCGCACCTTCCAGCAGCCCTTAATACTGCTTTTAATTTTCTAAATGCTGCTCTTGCAGATTTTTCCCCCCAACTGTTTTCTCAAGTGTGTACTCTGATCTTTAAAAAGTATATTTTTTTCTGCTATTATCAGCACATAATGACCAAGATTGCATGTCTAGCAAAGTGAAACCAACCCCGGGCAGGTACAGAGAGGCTCGATTCAGTCCCAGGGGCACCTTTGTTATCCTTTGGGCAGAGATATTGCCTAGTTCAGCCCAAAGCAGAGCTCTCCGGGGAACATGATGCTGTTGGGATGTATCGATCTCCGGGCTGAACTCGCCATGTCTGTCCCCTTCTTGCTTGGTGCTGTGAGAGCAATAATAATAATTCTTGTGTTACTGCAATGCCTTCACTGAAGCGGTACCCGGGAAGGAGAGCAGCTTCTGGACCAGATCTTTAGACCTGGTTTCAGCTTGTGGTCTGCGAAAGCTGCCGATCGCTGCGGAAGGCAAATCAGAAAAGCTTAAACTCGCTGTTGAGGGACTTGGCCTACCTCTGCGGTGGTCTTGGATATTGAGAAAGGTTGAAAGTCATTTACTGAACAGAGCCACTTGCCCCAGAGTAATTAAAATTAATGTGCTTGGGGTGCAGAGAGGGGTTTGTCTGTCCGCATCCCCGTGAGGATGCTCAGCCCTGCTGTGTGTAAAACTTGGCTAAGAAAAAGTTGGTCACCGAAAAAGCCCCTGACCAAGAGCACGCTTTATGATTTGGAGTTGGGAGCCAATTCGCATCTTCAGGTGGATTTTTTTTTTTTTTTCCCCCCATTTTTGGACTTCGTGGCATCTGACCGAGTTGCCAGCCCTCCTTGTCACCCTGAGGCACATGGCCATCCCGCGCTGTGCTGGCCAGGGAGCAGAGCGCCGCTCCTAACACAACTTCAGGGATCGGAATCTGCAGGTTTCCTGGGCATGCTGGCACCTGACCTGCGGGGTGGCATGTGCTGGAGGCCGCCGGGCCCGTGCGTTGCTTTGGCATTCACCAGGTCCCGTGGTGCTTGCAGCCCCATGAGCTCTCCCACCAGCCTGCAGCGGGACAGGAGGTGCCGTGCTATCTCCCATTTTTTCCCTTCTCTTTCCACTTTCCTTTAAGTTCCATGTTTTGTTTTGTTTTGTTTTTTTCTTTTGTCTAATGTTTATTTCAGAATTTGCACATCGGTGACATTGGCAGAGTTTGTCAGCCAGCCTGATGCTGGGTGTTTTGGGCAGCAAGTCTGCCCCCGCGGCAGCTGCCAAAAGACCAGCTCTGCTAAGTGAAAGGGGCAGAGGACCCCGGGGCATGCTCCCCTTGGGAGAAAGGACACCTTGGATGCTCTGGTTTGCCACCGCTTTCTTTAGAACAAGCCGTGTCCGAGGCCAGCGTGGCTCTCCATGTTGGCACAGGTGGTGGGGCTGGTTTCAGCATCTGCCTTCTCTAAAATGTGGGAATTTCTCCTTGCATCCTCCTGGAAGGCCAGGAGGAGATGGGCCAGTCTGGGAGGTGATGCTGTACCTCACAGCAAGCAAAAAAACCTCAGCGTCCCTCCAGTGCGAGCTTCCCAGTGGCATTCCGGGTGGTCCTGGGTGCTGCAGCTGGTGGCCTGGCTTCCCCGTGTCCTTGTTTCTGGCTGAGGCCGGGTGTGCCGGGGCTGGCATGTTTGGCAGCCGCCTTCATGTGCAATCACTGCCCTGCCGTCCTCTGCTTCCAGCCAGGGGACTCCTGTGCTGGACCTTGCTCCTCCTTTTATAAACGGCCGTGAATTGCAGTCCTTGGTATGCAGGGAGGAGCCGGGAAGCTGCCTCTGGCAGGAGAGTGGCTTTATTGCGCCCTCCGAAATGTCACGTTGGTGAAGCCGCCGCGGGCGATGGCGTTGGAGTGATTTGGTGGACGTTTGTAGCCAGAGTCCATCTCTCTGCAGAAACCAGACATCACGTGGCTCCCGCCTCGCGCTGGAAGCTGTCACTGTCGCTAATGTGACACATCAGAGATGAGATGCTGCTTCTCATTAGCATCAGGGGGTAAAGGGCATCCTCCAGAGGATTTGGTGCGGTGGCTGCCGCATCATTAACGCAGGCGGGCAGCAGCAGCTCTTGGCCTTTCATTTGCTTTATATCATCTAGTCCTATAAAAGAATCTGGGTGCTTGGAATAATTGTTGGTAATGGCTAACGAGGAATTGTCAGGCATACGATGGCCGCGTCCTTTTTCCGCGCGGCAGACTCGCAGCCTGGTGCCGCAGCAGCATTTATTTGTATTTTGCCAGCACCTGCTCACCTCGACCTGTGTTGCCTGGGGTGGTGGATGAGCACGGAGTGTGTCCTCGAGTTAATAACTTAAAGGCTGAAGGGCTCAGATATCGATATTTCTTTTTTCTTAATTAGCATTTACAGTGATTCTTCCCTAGTGCCTGCTCTTAAGATGGGCTCGCGGGGAAGCTGCCGTGTTTTCTTAGCCCTGGGGTGTGTTTTTACGCAAATGGCTGGATAAGCTGCTCCGCAAGGAGTGGGGGCTGATGGCTGTTTTCTTCCTTCCTTTCTCTTCCCTAGAAACTGGCAGCTGAATGCCAGAGTGCCGGCTATCCGGGGACCCTCATCCCGTACAAGTGCGATCTCTCCAACGAAGAGGAGATCCTGTCCATGTTCTCCGCCATCAAGACCCTTCATCAAGGAGTTGACGTCTGCATCAACAACGCGGGGCTGGCTCGCCCGGAGCCCCTGCTCTCGGGAAAGACAGAGGGCTGGCGGACGATGATAGACGTGAGTAGTGCCACTGGGAGAGCAGGAACCGTGCTAGATTTTTATTTCTCCTGCCCACCAGCACCATTGTCCCCATCTACTTATTTCACATGTGCAGAGTTGAGGACCGGCTTTCCCCCCGGCGCTGTCCTG